CTCCCCCTCCCTCTCTCCCCTCTCTCTCTAGATCTCCCCCTCTCTCTCCCCCCTCTCTGTGTGTGTCTCTCTCTCTCTCTCTCTATCTCTCTCTCTCTCTCTCTGTATGTCTATCTCTCTCTCTCTCTCTCTGTATGTAACTAATTGTCTTAACTTTGACTTTGACAGGCCTTTTCAGATGAATATAAGACAGTTCCAATAGAGAACTTTTCCAGCATGCAAAGAGAATATCATGATTTTCAAGGTTAATTATTTGCATTGTCACCTTATTAATTAATCCCATTTCCCATGCATGCATGTATATATGTATATATATCATTCACCATTATATATCAATTCAATTAACATAACATTTATTTGATTAACAGGAGAAACTAGTAACCACAACTTCAATCCATTCACAAACACCATCGACGACGAGGCGAACGACGACAATATCTCAATCGGGCATTTAAATAACAACGACGGTGACAATATTAATAATGGAAGCGACAATAACAACTTCTTGGAAGACGGAGACCTGGACGATTTCTCGAGCACTCCAAACTTTGATTTGTACGAAGGCAAACTGCTCGTCTCGACCCGGCAAACTCCCAACACGTTCTATCACAAAGTCGTGCCTTCGAGGACAGTGCAAGTTCTTATGAACCCTACGGTGATGGTGCGTCAATTTCCGTCATTACCAAAATCGTCGAGCAACTATAACGGAAGTTTGTCCGAAAAGTTGGTGTCGTTTTCAAGAAATATGCTAAGTGTCGTGAAATCGAAAAACTGCGCCAGCGCAAGAGTTGTTGAAGGAGGGGAAGTGAACAACATAAAGCCTTACTTGACATTTGCTTTGGCTTTATGTGCCATTTGGGTACAAATTGTGACACCTTTCTCTTTAATTGTGTAAGTAGAATTGCAGTAAATTGCTGTATTATGTAAGGGGGGTCAGTCTAGTAATTATGCTTTGAACAATTTGGGATTTTTTATTTTATTTCATTTTTTTAATTTATTTTTTTTGGATTAAGTGGTAAGAGAAGTGGGAATTAATCCATAGATATTGGTAATTGGTATACTGTAACTTTATGAAATTTGACCTACTTTTGGGGTCATTAATCATTGTACATTTAAAATTTGGAAGATCTCCTTCTTGATTTTTATAATTGGATTCCGAATAGTTATTCGAATACATTTAGATGGTTTTTTTGCAAAAACAACCCTTGTGTAATCTTGAATTGTTGAAAAACCCCTTGTGTTAACTAAATTAGCAAATACCCCTTATGGAAATTAGTCAAAGGCAATAATGCCCCTGCTAGCCGAACGTGTGTAGCACGCGCGAAATGTGCGAATGGTTGTGTATTTTTTGATGTGAAAAAGACTCAAATACCCTTTAAATTAAAAAATTAAAAATTATAAATTCACCCCATAATTTTAATCAGGACCAAAATGAAGTTCTCAAAATTTTCAATTCAATCCCCAATATTTCTAAAAGGCAATCTTCCCAAATCAACCGAAAACCAATTTTTTCTTCTCCACCACACACCTACAACCACGAAAAGTTTCCCCCACCATCAAATAATCCATTACAAATCAACAAACAAAAGGGAAGTCGGAATTCAATTCAAGCCAAAAATGAAATACATTTGCATTTCCATTACAGACCGTATATTTGTGTGTGTGTGTGTGTAAGACCCACCATTAGAACACGTGGTGGGGAGCTTGAGCAGACACGTAATTATATTGTTGTTGACGGTAAAATTCGTGTAAACACAATAATAATATTATCAACCACATCAATATTTATTTCCTTTTGGCTTTTTTATTTTGTTACCATTGTTTTGTTATTTAAAGTGTCTTTTTTTGTAGTGATTTGTGACCGATTAACGTAATAACATTAATGTCTACTATTATAATATTACTGTAAACAAAATAATATTATTGTGGTTGACGGTAATATTACTATCGTTAGAGTAATATTATTATGGTCGACAGTAATATTACTGTCAACCACATCAATATTAATTAATTTTGCCTTTTTGTTGAGTTTGCCTTTGTTGAACGATCAATGTATTAATATTACTTTATTACACAATAATAGTGATGTTTTTTGTGTTAATATTATTGTAGTAGAAAGTAATATAGCAATATTACCATGTTAAACAGTAATATAGTTAATATAATTGTCAAACCACGGTAATATAACTATTTAAACGGGCAAAATAATATTCACGATTTTTTTTTTCAAAAAAAAAAAAAAAAGTCAATATCACCGGACACCAACGTGGACCGCCGGTCAGCGGCTGAAAAGAAAAAAGAAAAAAACAACGCCGGAGACCGTAGGTCAACGGCGGTGCAGTCGACATTGTAATCAAAATTGGATTAGGGGTCAAAATTGAATAGTTGGTGACATTTGGGGTCAAATTGAGGTTAAATTGGATTAAAAGATAAAATTTGAGCATATTAAAATGTGAGGGGGACACAACTGTGAACATTGTATGTTCGGGTCTTAGACCCGGAACCGGTCCGTTTGGGGCGGGTCTGGGCAAGTTAAATGGTTTTTGGTTGGGTAATGGGTTTCAGTTTCTAGAACCGGATAGTTCTGGGTCGGGTTACGGGGTCTTATTGGAACCGACTCGTATAAATATATCATATTTTATAATTAATCTATATATCCAAATTAATTTATGATTTCTTATATAAAACTTTCAATTTTCATTGTGTCTATTCTTTTTTACCCATTTTTCACAATTTCATATTTTTGAATCTCATTTCTCGTAAGTAAAATCTATCACTTGTACACCACCACTAGCCGTCTTGCCTTTTGAATTTTACTTATCGTAGAAGTTAAATATAATTCATTATATAATTTTATTATTCACTTTATATCACTTGTAGAAGTATTTTATAATATTGTATTTTAATTTTTAGATTATTCTGTTAAAATATAGAAGCAAAATATTATGAAAGTTCAAAAATAATAAATTTTTTATTTATGTTAACGGGTCTAGCGGGTCTGGTGGGTCAGAACCGTTTAATTCGAGTATGTGTTTGGGACGGGTCTGGGTCTAAGTTGAACCGGATTGGAGCGGGTTTGGATTTTATATATTTTTCGAGATCAGGTATCGGGCTTAGACAAACCCGGCCCACAACCGACCTGTTGTCATCCATATTTTCAAAAACAAAGATTTGCATAATCAACTTCATGAAATTGTACTTAAAGGGGAGGTTTTTATTATTTTCGGAGATTGAGAGATCTGAGAGATTTTCAATTTAGTCGATTTAGGATGATTTTCTATTTTTTTTTTTTTTTTTTTTTTTTTTGAGGTTAGATTTTCTATTTACATATGTTATTTTTCATAAGTTTTTAAGAGTATTTTTGACACAAAATTTAATATGAAATTATACAAAAATAGAACTTATAACTTGAATTATACATAGCCGCGAGTCCACCCTTGGGTAGATATGGCTACGGTTCAGTTCGGTTCCGATTCCAATTTTGGAGGAATCGAAACCGAACCGAATATTTCAGGTTTTTTACGGTTCGGTTCCCATTTGGTTCCCGATTCTAATCGGTAAAATCGGCCGATTCTTAGTAATATTTTTTTTATCTTTTTTATTTTTCATTTTTTAATATTTGACTTTAAAACAATACTTAAAAAAACTTTAACGAATAGTTAATTTGTTACCAAAAAAACAGTGAAAAGAATACTTCAAAACTTATTTATTTTTTTAAAAACATATTTATAGTTTTTTTTAAATACTTCAAAAAATTATTTTTGTTTAATTTGAACGTTGGAAATATTTTTCTTAAATAACCGATTTTCTTAAATAGTTCAAATTAAACAAACATAACCGATTTTCTAGGTTCCGGTTCCGGTTCCAATTCTTGTCAAACTAGTTTTGTTCAAAAATCATTAACGCCGGTTCGGTTCCAATTCCAGTTCTAACCGAACCGGTGGTCATGTCTACCCTTGGGTAAGGCTGGACTCAAGCCCATCATCAATTGATAATTTCCCACCTATATTATACTATATATAATTTAGACCACTCAATTTGTATTAGTTACCCACCCAAAATTTAGATTAATGCAAACAAATCCCTAATTTTCATTAATTAATCCACTAAAAACTCAAATTAATGCAAAAAAAAAAACCCATTTTATATTAATTAGTTGACCCAAAATTGAAACTATGCAAAAAAAAACCCAAATTTTTTTATTAATTACTCCACTGAAAATTCAAATTAATGCACAAAAAGCTCTAAAATTGTTTATTTTTCTTTTTTTATTTTCTGATTTTATCACAAAAAAAATCCTAAAAATAATTTTGGGAACACCGCGAAGGTGTTATATAAACAAGTCCAAAAAGAAAAAAAAAAGAAGAATAAAACCGAAAAAGGAAAATCAGAAGCATATACGAGTCGGTTTTTCTTTTTTCTTTTTTTTTTTTTTTTTTTTTTTGGTTTAGGTTTGAACTTCTAAAAGGTCAAAAAATATTTAAGGACTTATTTTTAAGAAAATAATTACCAAAGTAAGGTAGGTGCTCTCCTAATACAATTATGTTTTCCTAGTCCAAGTAGGTTTTTTCATCTGCCGTCTATATATACATATTTACTCATCTCACTTTTTCTCCCATCGACAAAATTCAATTCTTTTTTCTAAGGTACATCTTCTAATTTATCATATTTATTTATTTTTTTGTGTTTGTTTGTGCCTAGCTAGGTATATATTAATTTTTATATATACACACATTGATGGCTGATTGTACGAGCAGAGTGGGGTTCGAATATAATTACAACTTGTGGTTAGACTATAGTTTAATTTCAAAGGATCATGGTTACAGATTAACCCATGGTCACAACAATTTCATCTTCGAAATCCGAACTAATTTCATCCTAAAGAAGATACGTTCCGAAGATGAAGACGAAATTCTCGACTCGGAGGAATTCGGCGTATGCTTCTCCGACGACAACGGCGCTCCGTTGCCCCTGCACTTTTTTATTTGTTACAGGCTCGAAGACTACTGGATGACTTTCGACGAAACCAGCGCGCTAGAACGGGGCGCCGTCGCTTTCGCAAGACAAACCGCCGCGGCCGCCACGTCAGCGAATCGTGATCTCGTGTTCCCTGTGGTTATTGGGATCGACGTTTGCACCGTCCAACAAGAGGGAGAGACGATTGGGGAAGCGAGGGCGAGGGCGATTCGGTCAAAACACATGGTCCCGGTGTTTCTGTATCAACTCGCGTGTTTTAGACTCGATCAAAATAGATCTGCAAAGCTTTGTGTTTTTCTTAGGGATGTTCTGCCGAGAACGAGAGTTGTTGACGTTGTCGTTAGTGATGACGAGGATTTTGTGTGCCCGATGTGTTCGAAGCGTCCGTGGTTTGGGGTTCAAGTAACAAGCCTACCGTGTTGCGGACGGACTTTTCATTCGCATTGTATTGTTACGTGGCTCGAGCACAACCACGTTTGTCCGTCGTGCGATTCTCCGGTTTACGATCCAGATTACATGCACTTATATTAGTTTTTTTTTTTATTACAATTACAGAACCATAGTACTGTGTTTATTAATTATTATTCGACATGCTTATTAATATCAAGTTTTCTTGGCTTCCCTCTTACTATATGTAACCAAAGTACTTCTATCTGCTGGCTAGTATTTTTGTTATGTGATTAATTTATTTTTGTTATGTGACAGTCTACAGAATTACGACCCACGATAAATGGAAAGGAATAATTTTCAACTATGAGCCTTTTTTTCGCTATGCTTTACATAGTAAAGCGAACAAAAGAAAAATAATGCAAAATTGATTTTGAACTTTTGATCAAGTACAAATAAAATAAAATGATTTATGTTATCAAAAATTCATTCGGAATAAGTTAAAGTTCAAAACACATGTGCAAGTCGTCGTTCGTTTGTTCTAGTTTGTTGTGGGTCGAATCTTAGTGCAATTATTCAATATCCGATCGTTGTACCTTGGGAAACTACTGAGAATAGACGATTGCATCTTCAGCAACCCGGAAATATTATCTTTATTTATCTTAAGGGAATTGCTCGAGCCAGCCTGCTCAATCGTTATTTTGTGCGTTTACAAATTCCATATCCTTCCGGCAATCAAGTAAATGAAATACGTGATTTACAAATTTATTAATTTATTACACAAATTATTATTTACACCATACTT